ACTCAGTTACCTACCAAGACACATCCCCTCTCTCGGTTCCAGCCCAAAGGACAGGGCAAGAAAACACGAAAAAAAGCGCTCCGGTAGGATCCGCACCGGTAGGATCTCCAGCTGCTTTGCCAAGAAGGGAGAGTCCTAGACTGCGCTCGCTTTGCTTTCTCCATCATGGCTGGCTGAAATGAAAATCCTCGACCTCAAATTGCGTGGTTGTGGTGGTCAAAAATAGGGTATCCCCAAAATGGAGTGCCTTGTAAAAGGAAAGAAGGACTAAACCTGCGGTCCCCTGGTGGTTCAATTTTGACCCATACCCATAACCAATTCAGAGCCAGAGGGAAACCATTGTCGGCTAGGGAACTGTCCTCCAGCAATTGCCGATCCTGCGACACATCAGCGCCGAGCCCGTACCTGAACAGGTCTCCAGTTGCTCTCCAGTTGGTGTTGGCTCAAAACTGAAAAACACAAAACGTGTGTTCCCAGTTGACATGAGAATCTGGTGAGTCACTCCCCTTCCTTCCTGATGGCAATTTGGTGAAAAACGTCCAGTTCTTTGAAGACATGAGTCATTGCACAAATATGCCGTTTTGGAGCAGGAAGGTCGGTTCAAAAGCAACCCCATTGCAGCTCTCATATGCATTCTGTTTCTGTCCGCCTTCTCACCCTTTTGAAGAAGTTGTAGAGGCAGTGCTCGGACACCGTAGGCCATAGCCTGCTCGACTCCGCCTGGCCATCGCACGTTTGGATCGCTCTTTTGGCCCCTCACTCGCCAAAAGTCAAGGGCTTCCTATCAAATTCCGAGTTTGCGCGTCTTACGAGGCGGAAGGGCCGTTCTTTCTCCCTACAAGGCATGGCCACAATCTCAGGTTCCTGAGCCCGAAATGACTTCGGGTGCCCAAGTCGCTTGCCTTCTGCTCGCGCCTCGAAGACATTCCCTGTCTGCGTAAGGAAGATGGAGAGCAAGCGCCCAGACTTGGTGATGACCTGGGTCAAAACTCCGTTTGCGCCCAAGGCGCGGCAACGACTCAAGGCAGGAACGCCAAACCAAATCGAATACACGAGCCGTGTGTTGATCCAGCGTGAATGAACATCAAGAAGCCAATCAGAGTAAGCATCAACCGTCAGAAATGTATTTGGGCATCTACATGCCGGCGCGGAATCATTTTCATGAGTTCAGGAGGTTGCTCGGCACGGTGATCAAGTGACGCTTTAACTCGCTTTGACTGCAAGGCATATTCGCCTCTCCCCCCCCAACGCATGTCGCGCGGCCAAAATCCCTGCTCCAGCTGCCTTTGCCTGATCGGCTTTCAGGGCCCCTTCCAAAACCTGTCCAACTCCTTTCAACCGCCCCCCCGCCCCAAATCGTCCTGAAAACAGTCAAGTCCCCCTAATAACCGAAAAAACTGGTCAACCCCCTCTCTTAAAAACCTGTCCAACTCTGGTCAAATCCGGCAGAAACTAGTCAAATGCCCCCCAGAAATTTGCACCTTTGCTTGGCCCAAGCCCACTGCCATTCTGTAGCTCTCTGCTGGCTCGCGTTGTGACCCTTGAGTCCATGTGGAAACGCGGGGATACGCACCCACCCTCTACCTTGGAAACCAGCTCACGCATTTCGGCGCCGACTCACCCACTCTAACAAACACAACGCTTCAAGGCAAACTAAACCACAGTATATACCTCAAAGCTAGGCAATAGCGGACTGGCCGAGACAGGCAACGCAAAGCGTTTACAATAATATGTATATACATACTATACATATATATATATACTATTGTGCATTAATGCGGCTATGATTTTTTTAAGCGGTCTGTAACGCGCGACGCGCCACGAATCTTGTTACGGAGGTCTGTAACGGAGGTCCTTGTTACGCAGGTCTGTAACGGGACAAACATTTCCTGACAAGAAGTATCAGTAGCACGATGTAGCGCAGCACAGCGAGGTATGTAATGGCTATGTAACGAGGTCTGTAACGAGGCAAAGCAAAGCGCAGCTCCAGCTTGATTGCAGCTACTCAACGCAAGCCAAGCTGCGGCAAAAAGCGGGGTCGCTGGCCCGGGCTGGGGTTGGGTCTGCAACGAGGTATGTAACGGCTATCTAACGAGGTCTGTAACGAGGCAAAGCGAAGCGCAGTACGCAAAGCGCGCCTCCGCAGCACCAGCTTGCTTGCAGCTACTCAACGCAAGCCAAGCTGCGGCAAAAAGGGGGTCGCTGGCCCGGGCTGGGGCTGGGTCTGTAACGAGGTATGTAACGGCTATGTAACGAGGTCTGTAACGAGGCAAAGCAAAGCGCAGCGCGCAAAGCACGCCTCCGCAGCTCTATTCAACGCAAGCCAAGCTGCGGCAAAAAGCGGGGTCGCTGGCCCGGGCTGGGGTTGGGTCTGTAACGAGGTATGTAACGGCTATGAAACGAGGTCTGTAACAAGGCAAAGCAAAGCACTTGTGATTGCAGCTATTCAACGCAAGCCAAGCTGCGGCAGAAGGGGGGAAGTCACGTCACTGGCCCGGTTTGCTCATCTGAGGTGTGCAACGAGGGCGTGTAACGAGGGTGTGTAACGAGGGTGTGTAACGAGGGGTGTGTAACGAGCCAGCTGGTTTTGTTACAGAGGTCTGTAACGAGGTCTGTAACGAATGTCCGCCGCGGCTCTGTTGCAGACCCCTCAAAAAAATCACTGCCATATGTATATATATATATATATGTATCAATTTATTATATTATAATATCAATACATATTATAACTAAGCCCCCTACAACAAGCACCACGCCCACACAGCCGCTGGAAGGATGGGGGGCCGCTGAGCGTACATACGCCGGCACCTGCAAGCAAGCCATGGAATGGAATGCTCAGTACACCACAGTCCCCTTGTATTTCTTTTTGCTCTGTATTTCTCTAGAGGCGGCACTTCCTTCTCTCCTCCCGTTTTGCCGATCGCGAGCTCAGCCAACAGGCTCTCCGTGTCTCTCAGTGGCTCCACTCAACGGCCTCGCCGGAGGGCAAGTTGACAGGCTGCGGCCTCACCGGTGGATGGCGGTCTGAGCCACCGGTTTCAATCGCCCAATCGCCGGAGGCAGGGTTTTTGGATCCTTGGTTCTCCGCTTTTTATTGTTTATCATGCTTGTCATTCACATTCGCTTCATAAACTGTGTTTATACCGGTACACTCACTTAAACGCGCTTCGAAGCAGCTCTCGCTGGGCCTGACCGATAAACAACCAATCTTCCAGATTGACTCCAAACAAGCATGCATGCCACCCTGTGAAGAGCCGATGCATCTGAGTGCCCAGCAAATCCACCCGCCGCCCTTGTGGGAAAACGGAGATGTGGAAGTTGTCGTCTCAGCGTTGGCATCAAGTGAGCGCTCAGTTTGGGTTGGCTGGATCATTTGTGGACTTTCGCGGGGGTGCATTGGTGATGCAGGGGCGCGTCAAAGAAATCTGGCTACTTCGACACTTGGACTCATGTTGCCTTCGTACAAACTTCCCGGAAAGGGCCCCGGTTCCTTGCAGTTCCTATAATTTGAACTTGCCTTCCTGTGGTCCCCGACGGCTGGGCCTCCGCCCAACTTGCACGGAAAAGGAACAGATCGGGTTTGTTCATAAGTCTCCAGTACAACAGATCCGACCGGAGGACCTCCCTGACTGCAAGGCCCTTCGACCTAAGCCTATGAGTTCTCGTTTGAACATGTGCTACCGCTTAACCCGACTAACCCATGTCTCATGGACCAATGATCCCGGGGCAAAAAACGTGTATCCTGGCAGCCGATGGCAAGGGGCAAAACTTCGTGGCGTTTTTATTGCAGGCATCGCGGCCCCAAGGCTCCAACACACAGCTGCCACCGTAGGTTTGCGCAGGATGCTTGTGCCCTGCCCAGCCAAGGATTCCCAGTGAGTGTGCTCAGGCAAGTCTGTTCATACAAGAAATTTGAGCCACTGGTGATGGCGACCACTATCAATGCTCCCTTGTACAGGATAGATGTGCGTCTTTTGAGGGTACCCTTTTCAGGTGGGTTTGAAGGGCACCAAAAGGACCACACCCATTTTTGGGGGTCCACATGCCTGCTGCACAGCCGCTGTGAGCGGTGCAGCACAGCTGGCTTTGGCCAAGGCAGCTGGCTGCAGTGCCTTCCGCATTGGAACTCCGCAGATTCACATGGGTGTGGCTCAAAATTGGAGACCTAGGGTTACGCAGGTTTTACTGTTAGTTTCCATGTAGCAAGGTGTCATTTTGGTACATGTGTTTGAGCCAAAGCCACATGGCAATCAAAACCTGGTACTAAAATGGTGTACCCAAACCAATGCAAAGGACTACAAAGGCGGCCGCAGCTATTTCTTTCTGGCTGGGACGGTACCATACTAACCTTCACTTATCCGGGTTTTGAATATGGCTCACATGGAACCCAAGCCTCCATCGTTTTTGACCCTGCTCCCCCCAACCGAGCCAAACAGCGGGCATGGCTTGCAAAGCCATAGCTCGTCGTTGTTTGAGTGTCCCTAAACACCAGCAGTAGCACTTGAGCAAAGCTCAAATCTGACTGCTTTCACACACTCGGAAACCGGGGCATCCGATTTTTTTGGCTGGTTGAGTTGAAAGGCGCCGCCACTGTGCAACCGGGAGCCGCTCCTCTGGAAACCACTCTGATCGAAAGGCCAAATTCAGGCAGCTGAGGTCCGCACAAAGCTGGCGCAGGGCGGCCACTGCCTCAGGCAGGGAGGCAAAGGTATGCTTTTTCGCCGGCAACACTTGGACCAAGGACAAATTGTAGGTGGCTTGCTGCTGTTGCTGGTCTGATCTTTTTCTTGTACCACATGTTTTGGGCTGGCCGGCATGCGGAGTGTGAGCCGCCTTGCTCCATATGCGCAATTGCGAAGCCTGAATTCCATGGGCGAAAGGGCCACAAATGAATGTTTCTCAAGGTACAGGGCCCCTCTCCGAGGTTGGTTTCAGTCTGGTGTCTTTTTAACATCATCCGAGCAAGGCAGCAAGGGGGACCCCTGCCAAAACACGTGAACTTTCTCTCGCCTCGAGATGGTCTGCAAATCGCGCGCTCGGCCGCAAGGCCTTCCAAATATGTTCCGCACACCTGGAGAAACTCTTCGTCCATGTGGGTGTGGGTCAAAATTAAACCACCAGGAATCGGACCGCAGGTTTTGGTCCATGTTGCCACCTTCCAGGGCAACCCATTTTGGTACCGGCTTTTTGAGCCACTGCCAAATTGCTTTCTTTGGACAGCTGGGATACGCAGTGCAGCCAGTGAGGCCACATGTCGTGAGTCATGTGGTGAGTGTGCCACAAAGTCGCTTCGTGGCCAGCGCCGAGCACGGTCTTCCCGGCGCTCAGGTTGTCTTCACGGCGCTCAGGCGGCGCGTGGCTTCATCTCGATCGTGATCGCAGCTGCGTCTTCGGAGGGCCTACTGTTCTAGGGCTACCTTCCATTTCCCGTCTTTCCAGGGATCTTTCTTTTCAGGAAACCATCAAGAACCCAGGGAAACAGCTGGTTTCGGCAAAGAACGATGGTCGAAAAGAAGGAAAATGGACTCACCCCCTTAAAAGTTGGCATTCTTCAGTGGGTAAATCCCCACTAAACAGCTTTAAAAAAACAACACGAAAAGCTGAGGGGCTTTGGAGCTGGCCTTTCACGAGGTGACTGTGAGCCAGCTCTTGGACCAGCGCTTGCCCCCCAGGCCCCGCAGCAAAACCGCGATCTCCTCGTGCCGGGTCTGCTCGGCGATGGACAGGGGCGTGTAGAAGCCCGCGCGGATGTTGGTGTCGATGCCTGGCATGGCTGTGGTCAAAACCCAAACCCCTGGTGAACATCAAGGGTGGCACATGGATGTTCATCCGCCCAAAAAAATGGAGGCAAGGGTTGTGACCCATGGCCAAGTGTTCAGGGGACCAAATCACCACCCTGTTGGCCTCAAACTGGTTGATGAAAACCAACCAAGAGTCCAAGGATGCCCCCCAAATGGTGGTTTCTTTTGGGGAACCAGCCAAGAGTCCAAGAGTACTGTCCAGAACAAGCCAGCCCCATTCGCCTGGTGTGGCCAGCAACATCCGTACCACCTTTGTGTGGCCATGCTCCGCCGCCGCATGTAAGGCCGTCCACCCGTTCTTGTCCACCTACGCCGGAAAACGATAAAAACGGGCTTGTCTTTTTTTGAGTTGGTACCCCTTGTTGGATGGTTTTAAAAGCGAACCAAAAAGAAACCAACCACTTTGGGGTTCCCGTCAAAAGGACACACACACACACACGTCACTTCACCCCTAATTCGTCCTCAAAACGGTCTTCCCGAAACCATGTAAAGAATTAACAAGGTCCCCGCACCCATTTATCGTTGAGACTTTCCCTTACTAACCTTCATCTGTCTGGGCTTTAATTCTGGCTGAAGTGGGCGTCTAGTCAATCGGTCCAATCTTGTCTTTGTTCTTCATTTGGCCATGGGCCAAGAGCCCATACCCCGAGCGAACGGGACCCAATCCCCACTACAATAGACTAAAAATGGGTGGTGCACCTACCCAAAATGGTACCATTGGTTTTGACCCACAGCCATTTTAAAGCAAAGGCTGAAAGATGGCCAACCTCCCAGCTTGCTCTCTTCTGCAAACGCTCACTCTTTCTGTTTTAGGTTCCGAAAGGTACCATAACCACGTACCCACCGGCATTCTTTTCGAAAGCGTCGGTGGGTTAGTGGGAGTTGGTGTGTCTCGGACCCTGAAACCGGTGGTTTCCCTGTGGTGTCCCCTCAAAACAACCTCAAAACGAGTCTCCTTTAAACACACACACACACAAACAAACAAACACAAGCAAGCACACACACAACACACAGAAACAAACAAACAGACACACAGACACACAACAGACACACAGACACACGCAAACACGCACACACACATGCACACACACACACACAAACACAAATACAAAGACAAAAAAATACCGCAGGTTATCATACTGATACTGATTCAAAGTCATGGCAAGGGGAGCCATCGCAGCGCTGCGAATAGTGACTAGTGACTAGCTGAAGGATTTCAGCACCATGGGCCATAACACGGCATAAACCTTCCTATGGCTCCCTGTTTTTCTGGGTGGTTCTCCAACTCAGGGGCCCTTCAGGCGGGCCACGTTCACGTTGATGCCGGGCACGGCCAGCAAGGTCTCCACAATCTCCAGCTTGCCCTTCTCAGCGGCGTATTGGAGGGCCGTGCCCTCTTCGAAGAAGACCATGGCGTTGACATCCTCACTCCAAACCAGTGAGAAGGAGGCCAGCCTATGTAATCTGGGTGAATCAAAATATTTCACCAGCCTGAAACTTGCGGTGGTTGGGGGGCCATTCCCCACATCAACCACCATTTGGGGTGAGGTCGTGTGAGGTCGTTATAATTCACCCAGATGTGATCATGCCGAACTGGAAGCTGGGGAAGAAGTAGCAGGTCAGCCCATGGAATTGCGAACGTTATGAGATGACAAATATGTATGGTTGTTTTAAAGACTGGAGAGAATTAGCTGGTCAACCAATGGCATCGCTAAATATGGCCGACCAAAAGCGGGAAAGAAACACCTGGCTGGACAGCCTGTGAGACCAAACCATATGGTTGACAATATTGCTGACCAACAGTTCGACATCTGGTCCTCCTCTTCTGCGAGCAGTTGTTGACTGAAAGCTGGAAAACCCAACTGTCAACAGGTCCATTCCACAGTCCTACTTGCACACCTCAAATGGACATACCCCACCTACAAAGAGTACATTGGGATGGTTGTTCCGATGGCCCTTGTATAACTCATTCATGCCTGATTTTGGTCTGTCTGTTGGGGCGGTGTGTGACAACCCCCACTAGCAGGATGGGTGGGTTTCCATTAATAAATGTTGCCCTCAGATCCAGAAACCCGTCGGGTGTTCCCCTCCAAAAGTGATGAACCACCCCCCCTCAGCCCAATCAAACTCAAGCAGGGCTTAAACACAAATGGCCATGGGCATTTCAAACTCCAAATCGTAGCCCCAGTGAACGGGACCGATTCAATCCAACCACTCAAATAGGAAGCCTATCATGGGCGGTGAATTCACCGAAAACCCCCCCCAAAAATGGGATCCCAAAATGGTTTTGACCCAAAATAGACTGAAATGCCTGGTGTACCTACCAACCAAAATATGGGATCGATCCAAAACGGTTTTGACACCCACAGCTAAATCTTCCCGCTTCGCTGCGAGCATCCATATGCGGCGCCGCCAGGACCAGCTTCAGAAGCTCCGTGCTGGCGGTTTCTTGCACCGCCAGCCGCAGAAGCTTCCCGTTGAAGTCGATGCCTGCCACCAGCTCCTCTTTGATGTCGCCTGAATGATACTCTAAACCTGGCCCCTTCGTTTTGTTTTGCTTGCATATATTAAAAAAAAAAATGATACTCTGAACCCGGCCCCTCGTTTTGTTTTTTTTGTGCTTTCTAAAAAAAACAAAAAAAACTACTTTTTGGGCTGGCTCGGTCGAGCCGCTCTTTTTCTTTAGAACGTTTTTTGGGCTGGCTGAAAGGAAGACCAGAAGGACACGCCACTCTTTGGGGGGTCCAAATCCTACCTTTGGGGTGGGGAAGGGTGCTGTGGCTAGGGGCAGGTCAAATTTGGGGAACAACCCCTTTTTGGGCCCTGGTGTTTTTCTTGTGCCGCCCAAGCGAGCCCGTTTTACGGGGTCCTTGTTCTTGACCAACCCCCAGGTAAAAACCAACTACCGTAAGGGGGCCCTCTTTTCGTCGACCCACACCTTTTCGCCCCAGAAACCAGGGGGCAAAATGGAAAAAGTGGGCGGTTGGTCCAGAACGCACCAGGCCAAAGCGAAATCGAACGAACCAGGTCCCCAATGAACATCATGACCCAAAACTCCGCCGCTTGCCAATCCCAGCGGCGGACCCTTTGCACCAGAGCCTTGAACTTGGCCGCCAGCTCTGCGCTGATCTGCACGTCTGGGTCATTGAGAAGCAGCTGAGAGAGCTCGGAGTCTTGCTGCAGCGCCAGCGCCAGGACGGACTGGAAGTTGGTGTTCATCTCTTTGATGCTCAGAAACATCCTGGCAAAAACATCCTGCTCAGACACATCCGGGCCAAAAAAAAACGCCCCCTCTTTTCTGGGCCGCCCGTTTTCCAATCCTTTGCTAACATTTGGACACTTTTCGTGGGTTAAATGGAAGCTTCCACGAAACAAAGCTAAAAGGCTAAGGAGATGGCTGGGAGCCACCAAGCTTTGAACATATCCTGTAAATTTATGCCCATGTTCGGCTGGTTTCAGAGGGAAACCAACGGAATACCCACCGCTTTCAGGAAAAACATAAGGCGAGCCGTCCCTAGTGCAGAAGACACACCCACTCACAAAATCGTGGATCCCGTTTGGTCGGAACTTTAAGGGAGCCAAAGAAGAAGCGAAACATGTTAGGAAGTGGACCCCTATATTTTTAGAACCCCCCCCTCATTTCCTTACTCAGGCGAACCGGGTTCCAGCCTGTGCCAACATGTACGTCTGTGTAAATTCCGTCCAAATTCGGACTCCAACGGGTCGCCAAACTCATCTTAGGTTCTGCCTATGATTTGAGGTACCCCTTTTGGTTCAACGGGACGCAAGAAGAACCGTTGCCTCCATGCCGGGGCTCCTCGTTAAAAAAAAGGAGCCACCCCCTTCCTTCGGGCCGAGAACCGGAGAAAAAAACACACGCCTAATAAAAAAAAAAAAAAACTTAAAAAAAAAAAAAAAACGATCCGACCGGTCGACCCGTCCTGGTGAGATCCAGGCGGTTTCTGGTCACCGCCAGCAGCAGCGGAGTATCTCCGTCACAGGCGGCGGCCGTCAGATCGATGCCCTCGGCGCCCGCCAACTCCCTGGCCACCTCGTGGGAGTGAGTTTCGCTCCAAACAGATCCGCTAAAAGCTGCTTAACTTGTGGGCGGCATACAATCCAAACAAACAAAACAATCCAAACAAACAATCCAAACAAACAAACTCCCAAACAAAAACCAACCAACCAAACCCAAGCAAACCACCCAAAGTAACTTGTGGCACACAATGAAATGTCTACACCCTCGAAACCGAGTTGAATCTTGAAGACTGTTTGGTGGACATCATCTCTGAGTGCCCACCAATTTGGGAGGCCCCAGCAAACATCATAGCCGGATGGTCGAGCTTCTGAATGCTAGGTGGAGCAAAGGAGGCTTCCGGAATGTGTGGATACCCCGGATTATTCTACATGGGGACCCTGCAAACGTTTCAGGACTCCCTGACTTTTAGCGCTAGAATGTTTGTGCAGGTTTATCTAGGCGTTTTGTTCTATTTCAACACTCGAACCTAGCGAAATGGCCAGACAGGGTGGATGTGAAGAACTAACAACACATCAGGGAGCCTAAGATGTGGACATGGGATTCATGTCCAATCACTTTGGAGGTGGTTCCCTATCAAAATGATGGCCAAATGCTGGCCACAACGACCTAAACAATAAATAGAGTGGGATCATGGGATACTACTGCTGGGTAATAGATTTAAAAACACAACATGTTGTTGAATTGCTTGGCTGAGCTGCTGTGGATCCTGCACCACTTTATCCCAGTATTCAATTTATAGGATGTCCTTCATGCCAGCTGGTGCGAAGTGGATTTTGTAACCATCCACAGTAGGATACCCTCCAACCCCCAGTTTGTAGAACAAAACTGGAAAGCATCTGAGGTTTTGCTGGGTCCTTCAATTTAAGCCACGCCCTAACAAATACCAGTTCGAAATGGGTGGTGTCCTTTTGATTTTGCTCTTCGCCAGCCCAACAAAACTTGCTGGTGCTCAGCAGGGAATGACCCAGAACCGAAGGGGATTCCTTAAAGGAAACCATTGAGGATGGCTTGTAGGGGTAATTCCATTTCTCATTCCCTGCTGAGAATCAGCAAGAAAAGGGTTCTTTAAGCAAAAGACACCCACCTCAAGGTGTCCATGCTCCACGGCCACGTGCAACGCAGTGTAGTCCTCGCAAAATGTCTTGCCGGCGGGAATTCGGGGTTTCAAGAGGCTGGGTGTCGGGTTGATTTGTCTTGGAGCTTGGGCAGCCTCTCAAAAGCTAAAGGGAAGCCCTGATTTAAGTTCAGCCCGCTATTCTTGGTTGCCGTTGGAATGAGAGCAAACATTTCAATTTTAGCTGTTAAGTGGGGATTTCAACCACTATTTGCAAAATGTAAAATGCTTCCCAACAACAACCATGTATTGAAGCTGAATATTATGAGCGTGCGGCAAATGCTTGACCGCCAATTCTCACTCATAGCCTGTCCTTGGCAGCTTTGGCATTTACGTCCACGCCTGGGTCAGACATTGGGTGAAACAATGACAGGATTATATCTCGCCCCTTGGCCAATTTCCTTCCCTCCCCCCCCGCCCCCCAATTCCCCACTGTCCCCTCCTGCAAACTTGGGTGAGGGATCAAAAAAATGCCAGGCCCCAGCCTGGGCACCCCAGGATTTGCCGCACCAGCTGCGGCTTCCCCTGCTGCGCGGCCAAGTGGAGGGCCCGGAAGCCGCCGCCGATCTCGCAGTTGATCTGCAGCAAGGGACACTTCAGCAGCGCCGCGGTGGTGTCCCGGTCATCCTGCGGAGAAATCCGGCGGCGGTCGAAAATCGGGAACCCACCAACATGGAATCCTGGCAAATGGCAACATGGACTCAAACCTGCGGTCTGCGGCATATTTTTGGACCCAAAGCAGGTCAGAACCTTAAAATCAGTAGATTTGGTCCCTTCATGGCGACGACCTCGTCGGATTCGGGTCCCGCGACTACCCTCTCCACAGGTTTGAGTTTAAGCGCGCGTCGAGCCCGGATTCCACCAAGCGTATTCCGGCCCTGGTCAGCAGAGATCGGTTGGGCATTGAATGTTCCAAGGACAAGAAGCACTTAATCAAGGGAAACTCACCGGAACCTCGGATTGATGCGTCCCCTGCTTGGTTGTTGGGGGGTGTGACCATTCCTGGGTGAAGGCACCCCTCGCGCTCGCGCCCTGAAGCGAAGCCCAGAGTTCACAGGAAGCATGCACAGCTTGCCTGAGCAAACCGAAAACCACCGGATCCAAGATCAGTACCCTTTGGTACAGGTTGCAGGTCGGGAGTAGACCTGTTCACCCTTCCCATTTTGGTGGTCAAACTGCGTTCGACAGAATGGTCAGAATGGTCGGAATGGTCAGAATGGTCAGAATGGTCAGAAGTCCTTCTGGATGCACAAGCGCAAGGACTTCACATCTACCTCGATCTGCGGCACTGCAAGCAGCCGCCTTGCACTCGCTAATTGGTCTGCGTGCAGCGCGATGGCCAGTGAGGTGTCGCCGTTGTCCGCCTCACCGTGAGAGAGCGAAGCGCTAGGCGAAAGGCTGAACAGGGATCCTTACATTATACACCTGAACATTGCCTTTCCCTTTATTTTGGTGAAAAAAAACATGTTTCAAATGGGCAAAATGTATCTTTTAAGGAGCCCTGCTGAACACACTGAACATGGACATCTGTGGGCAAGATCTGGGTTTTTTGCAACTCTGATGCCTTGGCATTGACGTTGGTGCGGATGTCTGCCAGCAGGATCTCAAGTGATGATTGCTGGCCCTCCCTGCTAGCAAACATCAGAGCGGTGTAGCCATGCCCCGTGTCTTGCGCGTTCACCTGAACGGTCTGTATGGGCCCTCATAATCTGTGGAGGCCCAACAATCATTGCACACACACACACACCCAAAGCAGGAGACACCCCGAAATTTCGTGCCCCATGACTTCACTCCCAATGGGGGGTTAATCAATATTCCTGAACGACGCCTCAATGTCCGGCACGGCCAGGATCAACCGCAGCAGGTCGCCTTTCCCCTGCTCCGCAGCGAGCATGATGGCGGTCCTTCGGAAAAAGGAAGAGAGAGCCAGCCACTTGCTACCTGTTGAAACCAATGCTTGAACAACCAGAAGGGCCAGTTTAGCACCTATGAACCAGCATAGGTTTTTGGGGTTTTTGCTTACCCCTCTTATGGGGGCCAGCTATGTGGCTGTGGGTCAAAACCAATGGTACGATTTTGGGCTAGGTGAATTCACCACCCATTTTAGTCTATTTTAGTGGGGATTTGGATGTTCACTGGGGGTACGGGATTTTGACCCATGGCCATGTAAGCTATTGCCCAACCCCGCCTTCGGTTCAGGAAGCGGTTGATGTGCTTCACGTCCACCGTAAAATCTAAATGGAGAACCTGAGACACCGGTAACACACACGCGCTCTTGGACCCTTGATCTCGTCGCTTTCCACAACAGTACTCAATTTTGGGAGCTGAAACGACCTGAAGTCCAACCATTGCGCGGAAATCCTCATACTTGCAAAATCAGTACTGGGCTGCCCGTTTTCTGATCCCATGCTTTAAAAAACAACAACGGGTTAAATGGAAACTACCACTAAACCCTAAAAGCCTAAAAGGCTAAGGGGACGGCTGGGGGCCACCAAGAGTACTCAACCTTGGGACCTGAACCGGCAGGAAGTCCAACCACCTTTGCGAGGAAATGCCTCATTGCCTCACATTTGGGGCACATACGTCCAACAACACTATGGTTCAAATGTGCACATGTTTGGGTGCTTGGTTTCTGCACCAAAAATGCATCTCTCCCAGTCGAGGTGACAGGCCACTGCCCAACCGGCAACCAAACACAAAACAAACTGCCAAAAGGGTATGTCCCCAAAAGAAATGTGGTTCTCCTTTTGGCCTCCCTTTATACAAAGACAGGTGAAAAGATTTGTCCCTCCCTGACGCAGTCTTGCCGCGCGCTTGACGTGGGTGAGCCCGGCCATAGCGTGTCGGGGGATGTTCAGCAGAGTGGGCTCCCTGCGAAAGAGCCGTGCTAAGTCGCCCTCCAAGGTCTGCAAGACACCCAGCACCTGATCTGGTGTCTTCTTTTTTTGGGGAAGCCATAAGCCCTGGTATCAACATCACCTGAAACTTGCAATCTCGGAGCCGCCTCCGGAGCTTACCTGGGAGACCCAAAGGAAGGGACGGGTTGAATTTTGGCGCTCAGGTCCAGCTCCATGCGCCCAGCAAATGCGCCGAGAACGCCAAAAAATTAGTCCCGCAAAGCATAACCGCCTGCTGCCTGTCTGACCTGTCTGAGACTAGCCTCACAGACCAGCCCCAAGCCCGCCCAAAACTTCCCCTCACCCATGTCTGCTGGCCCTAAGATCCTGTCCGGTGGGCTTGAAATTTTTCGGGCGTCGGCATCCGCTCCACGCGCCCACTTTTGTTGCAAATGCGCTGCCTTTTGGTCCCGAAAAGCATGACCTCCTGCTAGGCCTGTCTGCAGCAGCGCAGTCCGGCTGCACCCAAGCAAGGGACACGAGCCTTGTCTTAACCTGGCGTGTCTGACTAGACTCACATGTCTGAGACTAGCCTCGGTGTCTGAGACTTGCCTCAGGCCCAGCCCAACCAGCGACCACCCAAGCAAGCCCTCCACCAACCAGCCCAACTCGTCCTTTCCTGTGCATCGCCTTGCCCTTGCCTCCGGGAATCCTGCGGGCCCATGACATCAATTGGTCCAACGACGCCAGAACCTGTCCATTTCTGAATCGCCACTTGACCAGCTCTGCTGCTTGCAGTCGAACCACAGACGCTGCGCGCTCGGCTTGGCCGAGGTGGGCAACGCGCAGCGTTTGCAATAAAACGCCCCCAGGCCCTTTTGAATTGCTGAAGCACATCAACAAAACTCTCCGTCGGCACACTTAACACCGCTCAGCATGCGTTGCAAACTACCCAGCTGTTGCTGACTGATCCTCTGCCGGGCACCGTGGTCTTGTCTTTGGGCACGTCGGCGGCGATGGTGTCCTGCTTCAAATACTCCATGGCAGCGCCCAAGGATGCATTCGTCCACAGCTTCCTGGCGTGCTGCTCGATTTTGCTCTCTTCGCCGTCGAAGAGCTTCAGAAACGCAAAGGTCGCCCTATCCTTGGGTGCGGTAGATCCCACAGCAACAAGCTTAACTTTTCGCTGGTTAAAAGGACATATGGCTGTGGGTCAAAAATAATTAGGTACCCAAAATGGAACCCTGGTAAGTGGCAACATGGACCAAAACCTGTGGTCCCTGGTGGTTTAATTTTGACCCACACCCATATGAGGGGAATCCAAAAAGTTAAAGTCTAAAGATCCAACAGCAAAGCATCGGAGTCCAGGCCCGGGAGCACCCCGATGAGCGTGGGCGTCTTCAAGGCCATGATCAGCTCCACGCTGGGCCAGAACCTCGTCTCGGTTTCCACGTCCCACAGAATGATCACCGAGGCGCCCATGAAGAGATTCGGAATGCAATCCCTCACCGCCTCGTCGAAATGCTCCTCTTCTTCCTTGCTCAAGTCTTCGTGTGTCCCATCATCCGACCAGAACTGGGGCAAGCAAATGAAGTCCAGCCACACATACTGGAGCCATTGGAAGTCAGGGCCAGAGAGAGTCTCTTTGATTTTGGCCAGCTTCACCCCCTCCGGGTCGAAGTGCTTCTTGGTGACCTCGGTTGCTTTCTGCCCTGCGAAAAGTTCTTAACTTCTAGTGGTTTAATACGGAAAACCAATGAGTTGGCAAAAACGTTAAAGTCCTAACTCCGTTGCTTTCTGCCCCCCTGCTAAAAGTTTCACTTTTAGTGGTTTAATACGGAAAACCCAAATAAGTTTGCAAAAAGTTAAAGTCTAACTTTTAGTGGTTTCATGGAGGCAAAAGGTTAAAGTCCTAACATCCCTTGGCAAAATGCAACAAAGCGACCCAGACATGGCTCACAGCCGCCGTGGACCTTTTCAACTCACCACTCACCAGCTCCTGCAGACTCACCTCGCGCCACTCCAAAAGCTTCCTCTCGCGCAAGGTCTGATGCGTCGGGCATCTCTTTGGCAGCTCAAGAAAGTCCTTCCTTCCTCACATGGGTGTGGGTCAAACTTAAGCCACCAGGGGACCGCAGGTTTTAGTCTTTGGTTCCATTTTCCAGGGTTGCATTTTGGGTACCTATTTTTGACCCACTGCCACATGGCCATGGGCTTTTCAAATCCAAATTGTACCCCCAATGAACATCCCAATCCAACCACTAAAATAGGTTCTAAAATGGGTGGTGAATTCACCTACCCCAAAATGGGATCCCATCAACAATCGCGGTTGCCCCGCTGTGGAATTCGAGGAAACAATTGCAGAGCCAGCAAGAAATCTGAGCAAGGGGCTCTCTTTCTTGTCCGAAGTAAAACAGCTTCTTGTTCCGAAGTGGACGTCTCAACGTCTCAACCCAGTCCGAAATCGGGCTTGCTTTGAAGGAACACCAAACGGGAGAAACACCAATCGAGTCTCCTTTTTTTTCAGACACGGCCATAAACCTGTATTCTTGCATGCCACCAGCGGCGAATAAACCAAAAGCCGGTCTTCAGCTTGATCTTCACGGGCGCCTCCAGCTCCTCTTTCGGTGCGGTCGCCGCCCGAGTCTTGGGCTTCGGCTTTTCGGTCAGCTCAGAGTCCTGTGCAGCTTTAGCCCCTTACGATACCACTGGAATTCCAGTCTTGTGACCGGATCATCTGGCCATGGGCTTTTCAAAATCCCGTAGGGAACATCCCAATCCCCACTCAAATAGGTTCTAAATGGGTGGTGCACCTACCCCAAAATGGAATCCCATTGGTTTTGACAACCACGGCCATCTTTTCAGGGGGTCCCTTTCAGCTTACAACTTGGTGGCTTGGAGGTGCTCCCCACTTGGCCTCAACAAGATCCAGGGGTTCCACCCAAACCAAGCCAAGCCAAACCCGAACCGACCCAGGGTGCCTGTTACCTGACAAAACATTTGGCTCAAACAAAACTCGCAGTTTCCAGCATGGTCCTTGACCCAAGCCTCCAGCAGCACCTTCCGGCGCCCGCCCTTCTTCTCGCCGGTGGCTTGCAAAACCGCCGGCTTCGTCACGTAGCCGCAGGCTTCTCTGCCCACTGCCTCTGTCCACAGCGTGACCTGCTTGGGCTCATCCGGCGAGTCAGGTGGCTCGCCGTCCATGGCGTCTTGAGCCAGCGGGATAGCAAAGCCATGCGGCCTTTGACGCGCGCAAGGACGCGCAAGGACGCAAGCTGAGGGTGCGGCGGCCCAGGCAACGGAAAGAGCATCAACGTTGATTCCTGAGCTTGCGCCATGTGGCTGTGGGTCAAAACCCTGTACCCTGGTTAACATCAAAATAGGTGGTAGATGGGCGTTCATTTGCCCCAAAATGGGATCGGCATAGGTTATGACCCATGGCCTGAAGCTCCATGGGTCATCGTGTGTTTCCCTCCAATACCCGATCCAAAGTAAGCAGGTGCTTGCCCATGCCATTCCAACCATTTTGCAACCCCCGCCTTTCGGATTGAACCATTTTGTCGACCAAAACCGTAGGAGCCTTACCTCTCGGTGCCCGCTCCCAAACTGGGTGCTATGACGCCCGACCTGTGCCGTCGGAACTGCCCGCTTTGGGCCAAAAGCATGGGCCTGTTTGACGGATCGCCGTTGAGCAGTCTCTCTGTGCTTTTCTAGGGCTTGATTCTGATTCCATTCTTTTCAACCATCGTTCTTCTCAAAAACCCCGGCGGCTTTCTAGAAAGAAGGCTAGAGAACGCCGATGTGAGGAATCGCTTGTAGAAGCGTTTTGAAACTAACAAACTGACGCAGCAACCATTCCTTGGCTTGGTCTCGCGGCCGGCAAACGCTGGCCGTGAGACCACATTCACTTCTAACTACCCTACATTGAGGAAGCCAAGCGGCCAAACGATCAACACGCACACCTGCAACCTTGCGTTCCCCCCTCATCTCCGGATTCTCATCGAACCAGCCCGAGACTTACGCGAATTTCTCTCTCGAATGCCTCAGGCCCCACGCATGGACCAGCCACCAGAGGCTCAGGCCTGAAAAGGGAGCGACGTGTCCGGGTGTCCAAACACATTCTTGGACGCCCGCAAGAACGAACACCGAGACGCACCGTTCATCGAGGCGGACGGCCAATTTGTTGGGATCCCCGCAACCTTCCCGGTGAGCGAAGCCTTTGCGAACAAACCGTGAGCATGTTGAAACCGCAGCGTCCAAAATCCCTTCTCCGCCGAACAGGGCGGCATTTTCTCAGAGGGGTTCATCCGCTGGCTTTTGGACTCCAAGTCGCCTGGGGTTTAGTCAACAAACTGAGACTTGCTTGACGTTGGGTTAGGGGAGCAAAAAACAATATCAATTTTTAGCAGTTAAGTGGTTGGATTTCAACCACTAAACCACAAGCAAAAATGTAAAATGTTTCCCAACAACCATGGAAACACTGGAGTTCTTTGCTTTGTGCAACCTCCCAAAGAGGGCTATGCACGACGTGAGGCTTCACGCCAAGAAACCAGCAAGACATCTCGGCTTGCTTTGTTTTGTTCCGGTCACCAGCGCCAGCCTGGCCCACAAAAGCCACGGCTTTGCACGTTAGTGCAAAGCCACCCATCCACAGAATGCACACAGCTTCAAGACAACAAAATCATAAACAGTGAATACCACAGGTGTCCTTTTGGAAAAGTAGATGGCCCTAAAATGGAATACAACCCATCTAAACCAGCGCCTTCTATTTTCAACCACACTATCCTAAAAAGGACACCTATGGTCCTATGGTGAACACATTTACCAACCCGGGGATTCCATGAGAAATCTCACGCCGCGTCGCGTCGCAGGAAACCTTTCACCCGCCCATACCCGCCCAACCCGTCCGGGCTCCGTGCGCGGGTCGGCGGCCACGGCACTGGCATCCAATGGCCCCTTGGGTCGAGCTGGCGGGCCTCGCAAGTGGCAAAGCCCTCAGCTTCCCCCGCCAATTGGCTGTGGTGGTCAAAACCGTTGTGGTTGATCCCATTTTGGTTGGTAGGTGAATTCACCACCCATTTTAGAACCTATTTTGGTGGTTGGATTGAGATGATCACTGGGGGTACGAGCTTTTGACCCCTGGCCAATCTGTTTGGAGCGTTCAGGTTTAAAGTTTAGGGGCTTACCCAAGTTTGGGGCTGCCTATTCATTCCAAAGCAACAGGGGTACCTATCAATTGCTGAGCAGGGTTGCTGTTCCATGACCCTGTGACATACGCGCGACACTCTTGTATGTCGGTGCCATCTCTCAAGTGCCTGGAAACTTGCAGCTTCTCAAAATCGGAGAATGGGATGGCTTCCCTTTGTGGTCCTTTCAAGACACACCCAAGGCAACACTCAAGAAACCGCCGGGCCAAAGGCCGCAGAATGAAATTTTGTGAAACAACTCCATGCCGATTTCCCGGGATAGATGTATCTGTACCGTATGTGTCTGTAAGTGAGAAGCTGTGAAACACAACCTCAGTGAAAAGTAATGACTAGTGGTGCATTGTGCCCTTTCGTTGAAGAAGCAGTGGACCTCATGCCAAGGGATGTGGCTGTGGGTCAAAAATAGGTGCCCGAAATGGAACACTGCTAAATGGAACCCAGGACTCAAGCCTGCTGTCTCCCGGTGGTTTAATTTTGACCCACACCCATGTGAACATGCTCCAGGCCTTCCTCCAAAGGCTCGCCCGCCGCCTGCCGAGACGGGGTGGGCGGATTGGGCGCATGCCACTTGTCTCAGGTGTGCCGCTCCTCTGTGCAGCGCTACTGTGGATGGACGAAATCAATTTCGCACCACCTGAGAAACCATGACAAACCATTATTTGTCGGTAATTACAGGGGAAGAATCATTTTTAGGTTTCTCTAGGTGGTGCGAAATCGATTTGTGGTTGATCCCATTTTGGTTGGTAGGTGAGTTTACCACCCATTTGAGGCTTCCTATTTTAGTGGTTGGATTGGGATGTTCTTAGACGGGTTTGAGAACCTTTGGCGGTGTGTCCTAACAGCTCTTACCTCCAACAAGCTGGGAAGCTGAAAGGAAAGTGTGGTGAGACTACTTTCCTTTTGGACCACCTGTCCACTTCTATTGTTGGAGAGGGTTTCCCATTCCGCTTTTTGCAGAAATATGCCAAGCACTCAAGGGATTTGTTTAAGGAATTTGTCTCTAGAGGACGGAGGGCTAGGAAAGGGCGGGCCGTCGCAGCCGACCCTTGCTCTTTGGCACATCATTTTGAAGCAGAATGCAGACCTAGTTTTGACCTACCGCCTCTGCGCGGTGGTGGGCAAACGCACTCGTACTTTGGGCGGTCAAGTCGAAAAAATCATTCGCAAGTCGACAACTTCCAGGTCACCGAACTCCCGTCAAAAAGCTTGATTTCCAGGTCTGGACACCGTCAAATGGCTGCATGGATCACCGTAACGGATGAGACCTGTTGTGGATGGACGAGACAACCACAGCCAAGTGGGGTGGGCATGGCGCAGCGAGCTCGCCCTGGGTGCTTCCACTTGCTGGCCTCAAGCTCCGGGCTGTCCACCCTCTCCCTGCGCCAGCTGCGCCTCATCGGATGCTTCGGGCCCGTCCCAATCGAGGGCTAAGGAAAATGCTCAAAGAGCCGACCCCCCCAAAATGTGTCAGTCAAGACTGGGCCGCCCTCAGATCCCCTGCTAAAGTTTACTTTTAGTGGGTGAAATGGAAACTACCACTAAACACTAAAAGGCTAAAAAGCTACGGAACCAGATGGCTGGGAGCCACCAAGAAGAATTGATCCCCTGCAAAAAATCCTAGCCTCACACCGGGCGATATGAGATGAGCTTGGAATATACCTTGCTATGAGAGCAGGATGGACGAGTGCACACTCGCGCATGCACTCGCACACCCACTCGTCTCCTTCCCTTACTCGCACACTTCCACGCAAGGAACAAAGGCAGTAGAAAACTGACTGAGTTCTGTGCGAGTGGTGTGCGTGAGGCTCGTCAAATCGCGCACTCATCTTGCCACTTACTAGTCCACCCACTCGTCCGTCCACTTGGCCACTCGTCCGCCCCCTCGTCCGCACACTGGTCCACTCGTAAAATCGCGTGGTTGCACTCGTACACTCGGCTGCCTGAACTCGTCCATTCGCACGCTTTGCGTCCGAAAGTCACCAAGCCTCAGTCTAATTCTTATTGAGCAAGTAAATTAACGAGGTGTTGGCACATGCCAGCCTATATATTGCCTTTTGTCCCACTGTCCAAACTCTGAACAATGACGGAGGCAGAATACACTCCCGTTGCTAGCGTGCTCGACAGAGGTCGTACACGCCCCCATGCAGAACGGATCAGAAAGGTCGTGTTTGAAACCTTTCAAAGTTCACATCAATTCCATGAAGTGCCTTGCCACACAAGCCTCACGATAGACAACTAGGTCCGCCAGTAGGGAGGTTAGAATAAGGGTACCAATTTGTTTCTGCTATTTT